TGCACTACAGGTGGTTGGGTTTTGGGTGGTCCTCTTCCAAGCTGGGGGTATTTTAACATGACCAGTTTGTTCTCCCCAACCCAGGGTGTCCCTGAGATGGGAGGAGCAGCTCATCCCTTCCCCATGCCACCTCCAGCTCTCTGCCAGGGCAGCCTGTGGTCCTACACAAGTCCTAACCTGCTGGGCAACCTGCTCCTGCTGTGAGGTCCTACAAGGGGAGTTAAAAACACATGGGTCATTAAGGCTGGGAGATAAAATAGCTGCTGGCCTGAGGCTCTGGAGATGGGCACCAAAGCTCTGGGGCAGGTCTTGCCTCCTCCCTGGAGCTTAGGGATGAGCAGCCAGTGACAGCCATCATGTCAAGCAGATGGAGAAGGAGGAGAACAGACATTTCTGGGTTGGTTTTTGGAACCCAACCATGAAGCCAACACTGCTCCAGAGCCAGCAGCTGGCCCTGCTGTCTGGCCCCACCAAAAAGAGACAGACTGTCTGCCTTGTGCTTTCGGGGAGGCGTGGAGAGCCCTTCTGACTGTAGTACTGCCGCACGTGGGAGGCTCCTCTCTCTGTATTGCTGCCTGAATGCAATTAGGCTTTAATGAGTCATTAAAATAAATCTCTGTTTCTACTCCAAGCAAACATGCCGGGGGGATGCTGACAGTCAGAGCTGCAGGTCTTGCATCATGCGGAGGAAGAGGCTGCACTTCCACGCGCCCTCCTCCCCAGGGCTGGGCCCGGCACCCTTCATCTCCCTTCCCCATGAAAAAGAGGATTTTTCCCAAGCAGGTTTGCAGCTACTGCAGGAGTGAGATTAAATTATAACCAGCGCTAAGGTTCGGGTTCTTTTGGAGGAGCAGTGGTCTGAGGGTTATCTGCTCCCTGATGCTGAAAGGCACTTGCCCACTGGAAGTAGTCAGAGATGTGACAAATCCCAGATTTTGGCTCCTAGGTTGTTAAAGATGCTGATGGCTGTGTCCCTTTTAACCCATATCTGGATCTGGTGGGTAGCTGGGGGAGATCTCAGCAGGTCCTGAGGCTTGAGAAGGATGTACATGAGGCAAGCACCAAAATAGGAAAGTGTGGTGCATCACTGACAGACATCCATAGTTTTCCTAGCTGTAAATGGGGTTTCAAGAGAGCTTGTGAGCCAAGAGGGATGCTGGTGACCTTTCTCCTCATGGGCAGGCTCAAGGCTCATCTTCCTTCATTCCGCCTAACTGGTAAATGATCCAGTTATCCCTGAGGATGTCTTTGCTAATTTAATCCCTCCCCAGTGGCTGTCCTGCTGGCACGTTTGCAGGCAGGAGGGCAGATGCCGGCAGGACACAGGGGGACGTCCCCTGCGTGTCCCCAGGGAGCAGCATCCCTCAAACACGGTCGCTGTGTCAGCCACTGGCCCCGTATTACTCTCCAGGCTGCAGGGGGGCACGAGTTAAAACGAGGGGTTGAGCAGCAGAAGTTACTTTATATTAGCAAAACAGGTAAGCTGGGTGACATCGAGGCACGACAGAGCTGCCCCGCACAGCTTGGGTGGCAATGCCCAAGCGCGCTGTGCTGGGGAGGGGGGCTGAAGCTGATGGGGTTACAGAGGCTCCAGCTCAGCCAGAGCTTTTCCCCCAGCTTTGCTTTCATGAGCAGAGCTTACTGCTACATGCACAAGTCGTGTTTCATACGCCAGGCTGGGGGGAACTGGGACAGGGCAGCAAGGGCAGAACTGGGTGGGAATTTGGAAGCTGGGCAGAGGATTTTGAAGGAAAGATGGAAATGAGGAGAAAAAGGCAAGAGAGCACCAATGTCCAGGGCAAGGAGGGAGATAAGAAAGTGGTGCTTTGGAGAAGAAGCTGTCCTAGGGTTGATGCAAAGAAAGCTGGTAAGAAAAAAAATATTTAGTGAGAAACTCACTGCTGTGCTCAATTGGATTTTGTTGGGGATGCTCTGGATTGTGTTGCACAATGCTTCTGCTGGGATGCATGCTCCTCTTCCTGTATGCACCGGGGATGAAGATACACTTTGGGTCACCGAGTCCCCTGGTGGGATTAGCCTCACTGGAGAGCAGAGCATGCACCTTCCTGTGGTTGAACAGTGAGAAAATCAAACTGAGGAGATCCTATCTCCAGAGGGTGTGTTTGCAGTCCCTGGGGAATGGAGGGGTCTGGCCAAGGCCTTCATCTCCTTGCCCTGATGGGAAGAGTCTGCTGGTGTGAAAATAAATGGATGCTGAGGAGGTGAAGGTTCCCTCTTGGAACGGCGAGGGTGCTGGAGAAATACTGCCCCAGGGCTGGGAATGAACGGCAGAGCATCCTCGGAGGGAGGCCACACTGCCAGGGAGGGTCTCCAGGCTGTGGGACCAGCAGGATCTGCTCTGCCCGGAGACCTGAGTGTGGAATAGCTGGGGGCTGAGAGTTTTAAAGAGGTCCCTGCTGCCCCATTTTGCTTTGCTGGTGCCTTCTCGCCTTTTCCTGGGCAAGTTCTGGAAACTCTGGCTGACACAGGGGAAATACTAATGCTGTGTTAGTGCTTTACCACAGGGTTGAATCCGTCATGGGATACCTACACCAGTGCAAAAAGCTTGTGCAAGCAAAAAGGGTGACATCGGGGTGAAGGAAATAACCCTTCCTGCTCGTTTTCATGCTCATAAGGATCCATTGCTTGTGCTGTACACAGTGAAAACTCAGGCCATGCTGTGGCAGGGGATCTAGTGGCAGCATGGGAAGTAAATCAGACTCAAGTGCTTGCACCCCAGGGCCGTGTTCACATGGTACCCATGGTACATCAGGATCCAGCTTGGGCTTCAGCTCTCTGCTGGCTGTGGCCATAGGCATGGTCCTGAGCCTTTAGTACTCGTGCTGCAAAACGCTCTTTTTGACAAAGGTCGGTCTCACCTGGGGCACACCCAGCACTCTGGCTCTCCACAGCATTGCTCTGCTCTCCACATGCTTGCTGCTGCCACAGCTGCTCATCACAGGGGATATTTGGGTTTTGGGTGGGATGGTGCACACAGCAGGGGTTGGCTTGCTCCATGGAGCCTGTGGGGATCTGATGTGTGGCATAATCTCAAAAGCCCTTCTTTGTGTGACTTGGCTTGATGCCACCAGTTTTGTCCCTGGTTATTTTGGGACCACAGTGGAGTGGCTCCCTGGCACATGTGCCTGGGCTTGGCCACGGCTTTTGCTGGGAGCAGCCCCAAGCAGGACCTCAGGCACAGCAGCAGATGAGCCACATGGGTCAGGCAAGGGATGTTTCCATCCTGCATCCCACCATGTCTGACTCTCTCTGTGTCCAGAGCTGCACCAGCCACCATGGCTCCCAGGCTGGAGCTGGCCAAGAAAATGCAGCAGGTAGGAGATGGTGGGGATGAGGAGGGAGGTGTCATTTTCCTACTCTGGGTTTTAAGCCATCCTGCAATTAGGAGGGACTGCAAAGGGTTGTAATTATATAGGTAATTGCCTAGATCCAGGTGTAGCCCTGGCCATGCTTTGCAGTATCACACTGGTGTGTGTGCTTGGTGGGGACAGAAGGGGGTGATGGTTCCTTCTGTGTCCCTCCATCTCTACGCATGGGTCCAGTTAATCCATGCAGGCAGGTGAGACAGGATCTGACTAGTCACTTAAGGATATAAAGGGCAGGTGAGATGCTAGAGTAATGAGATACTCGTGTGGTCTGTGCCTGAGATAACCTAGGCTACAAAGCTGTCCTTGCACCAAAGGTCTGTGAAGTGCTGGGAAGTCTTCCTGGGACAGGGATGTGGATGTGCTGGCTGGTTACAAAACATGCTGGGACTTTGCACACCAGGCAGTGCTACAGTCAGAGATGGGAGGGGGATGCTTGGTCCTACGTGGCTGTAAAGGCAATTGCTGCTGGTGGGGAAGGTCTCCTGTGCTCGTGGAAGGAAGGATGAGGCCCGGGGGGGGGGGGGGCAAGGGGGGAGTGAACCTGGGCTGGCAAGAAGGTGGGTTTGGCAGAGTTTGACAGCCAGGAGAAGGGATCTGCTGGGCTTGGTGGATTGGGAGCACGGCATTAGCAGCAGAAATGGAACCTTTAGTGCCCACCCAGGATCTGGGGGCTGGCTGGCCGCTTCCACCCTGGAAATGGTTTGATTTGTGTTAATTTCAGTTAGTATCATGCCTTTTCCACAAAATTTTTGCAAGAAAAGTTCTGGTTTCAAAACCCTATTGCATTTCTTCTGTCCCATCCCTTACCTGGAGAGAGGCAGGCCTGGGAGGACGTGGTGGGAAGCCCCAGGGAGCTGGTGAAGGGAAAGCAAGGGCAGGCATGTGGCAGGGCATGGGGTGTTTGGATTTGATGACTGAGTGCAAATCACCGCAGCATCGGTGGCGGGACAGTGTTACCTCTGCGAGCTGGCTGTCCTTGTGACACCTGGGACAGGGTGTTTGCTGTGCTTTCCCTTGCAAAACTGATGGGCTTGAGGCACCAAAGCGCCCAAAGCACAAAAAAGTCTCACGTAGGAAACAGGTCACACAAAACACCCTTTCTGCTGGGAAAAGCCTTTCTTGGTGTTCTCTGCAGCAGGTGGATATCTGTTTTCCCAAGTGCTGCTGTGATTTCTGCCTGCAGACTGGTCCAACTTCAATTATAACTTGGGCAGAAACCTCCATAAAGTTCAGTGCTGGCCCAGGAGGTGTTATTGCTGCAGGGGGGAGCAGGGCTGCTCCCATCACCCAGTGTCACTGTTGATTTTCATGCTTCAAAGATGCTTTTTCCTCAATATACTTATTAACAGCACATCAAAAGTCAGAACAAGCTGGCCCCATCTCTCCCTTTCCCCCTGAAAATAATGGAGCTTAAGCAAGCTTATGTGCAAGGGTAGGTCAAAGCAGCAGTTCGTAATGCTTCCCAAAATCACTGTTCTCAGGGCCCGGGGTGGACAGCAGTTCCTTGGTGGTTTGTAATTTAAAGTTGAAAGGCTTCCAAGTGGCCCAGTGGTTTGGGACCTGGGCAAGAAGCGCCAGCAGTGAGTACTGGGGCTGGAGGAGAGATGCTGGGGGGCTGTTGTCTGAGTGCAGTCCCCCCCATCCTCTTGCATCCCATGTTGTCATTGCTCTTTGGGTGAAAATTCACTTGGGCTTGGCTCGGTTTGGGAGGGGGATCTCATTAATTGTGCTTCCCGGGTCTCGGCTTGTCCCATTACACCTTGCAGCACAAAGCATCTGACATGGGATGAGTTTGCAGGTCCTCTACCCACCCTGTGCTCCCATCCTGCCCCATGCTGTCCCACCTCACCCAGGTTTGCAGCCATGGGTTAATCCACCCAAATCCCACCGCGCTGAGCCCGTGCCCTGTTGTTTGCTGCCGTAATCTGTTTTGAAAAGGCAGCCCCTGATGCTGTTTTTTCCAATTAGGCACAGGGAAATGATTCTGGTAAGGCAGTGGCTGGGCTAATTCACCAGGCAGACATTTCATTGAATTAGCCCATGAGCTGCAGAGCAAAACCGGGAGAGCAGAGCCCGGGCTGGGGCAGGATACACCAGCAAGGTTCAACATGGTGCTCATGGCAGATAGCTGTGCTCTGCCCCAGCCCAGGACCTGCTCCCCAGCTCTTGTGGTAGCGCTTGACCCTTGTTGGATGGCAGGAGTGAGCTGGGACACACAGGATGAGGAAGGACGGGAGATTCTCAGCTGGGCTGAGAGTGCTGGTGGCTGGCAAAAACCTCACCATTGACTTGCAAACTCTGCAAATCTCCTGTGGACGTCATTGAAGGGGAATAAATATAGAAGCCTGAGATGCCACTCGTTCCCAGAGTCACTTTTCAGGCTGTACCTTTGCGGTGTGAGGCAACATCAATTAAAGAAAACGTATCTCTGCAGCAAGCAGTTCTGCACGCTGGCCGAGGGTTGTACAATATGGCTGGGTTCCCTCCCTGTGCCTGCTCCTGTCCGTAGTGGGACAGTGTGACACCACTGCATAGCATCTCAGATCACTTCCCAAAAGCCAGTGAGGGGAAGGGAAAGTAGCACAGCCTGGCTTATATAAATCCTGATTTTATTCAGCAGGGTTTTGGACACCATAGGGTCTCCATGCTTGCCCTTTGGTCATAGCCCCCTCTCCTGAGCTGCCCAGGAAGCTCAAGTGAGCAGAGAGATCCAAGGCATCTGCTCAGCGTGGGGTATTTAAACAACTTCCAATTCCCTTTTTAAGCCAGAGGAGAAATGGGGCCGTGCCCAAGGGAATTGGGCTTCTGGTTCCCCTTGCAGTTTTATAGGCACAGAATAGAAATTAACTGCTAGGCTGCTGGTGAGCAGGATTTTGAGGGGGGAGGAGAGTAGAAACTTTCTCCTCTCTGAAAGCATCACCTCTAAAGAAACGAGGAAGGCAATGCTTCTCTTCTTGTTTGTTTTAATTTCTGCTTATTTTTCTTTTTAACAGTCCCTATTTTAATAAGGAAGAGCCTTGCTCCTGAGCAGGGCCAGTGAAACACTGACCAAGGCAGCCTCAGAAATGGAAATTCCAGATGTGGGGCACGTGGAAACCTGGCCCTCCTTGAGGCAGTGCTGATCAGACATGTGGCTCTCAGAGGTGACCAAAGAGTCCCCAGGGCCGGTCCCTCCCTGCCCAGAGTTGCTCTCCAAGGCTGCCTGCTCACTCCAAACCTTGGCCTAATTGGATGCGGCTCTCTGAGCTCTAAATCAAATCACAGCTCCCATGAAATGAAGTTTTCTGGATGCGAAAGGCTGCTTGCATCATCCATCACTGCCCAGCTCACAGCAGGTCCCTCTTGGGGGTCACTGAAGGTCAATGTCTGCCTTTTCCAGCTGCCCACCATCAGCTTTTCCCTGTTAAGGATGGCACCTGGGGAGGTGATAACTCCACTGAAGGCTCCCTGGTGTGTCCTCCCTGCGTCTCCAGTGCCTCTGGCTCTTGGCAGTGTTTCAGGGTGCTTTTTGGTAACAGGGTGTAGGAGCTGAGTGTGTTGGTCTCTATTATTAGCTCTACTGGGTATGGACCTATTGATTTCTCAAGGCTTTTTTTTCCCCCCTTTGTTTTGTGTGTGAGAGCAGCTTGAGGAGGAAATCCAATGCGTGCCCGCCTTTCTGGCTTTGCACAGGAACTTTCCAAGAGCTGAAAATCAATTTGTGGCAGGCAGGATCCTGCAAATCACTGCAGCAGGGTGAGGAGGGGGTGATCTGGGGAGGATGGCGTGTCCCCCATGGTGCTCAACAGCACATGCAAGAGCAAGGGGCCAAGGCAGAGTTGGGCAGGTCTCGTTTGGAAGCTGCCACCTCTCTCTCAATTAGGGCTGCATGGTGAGCTGGTAATTAGATCTCTTCGGCTGCAACCGGCTGGAGCATAGACCCTATCAATTAGTCTTGCTCTGGATGAGGCACAGAGGGACGCAGGGCCAGTAATGAAATGTGGTTGTGCCAGGCATCGCCCGAGGGTGGGGGTGGCAGGGGCGATGGGTGCACCCACTTCTGGGGTGCAGGCCTCTCACTGACATTGCAGGGTTTGGGTGTGGGATTGTCCTTTCATGGCGGTTTGGGTTTACCCACCTTTGCAGCACCACCTTTCCTGCTGGTCTCCCTAAAACAAGCAATTTATGCAGCTCCGCTGCAGGAACAGAGATGGCACCAGTGGAGATGGGGACACTGGGCAGCCCCCTTGAGCTGACGGTGGATTTTTCTCCTTGTCCTCTCTCCCAGGTCTGCCAGCGTCTCCCTGTGGCCATGCACCACTGCCTGTCCCAGCCGGCTGTCCCAGGGCCAGTGTGTCCGTAACGCCCTGCCTGTCATTTTCCCAGGTAGGTGCCTGCAGGGTAGCAGGGGGGTGCTGGGGAGAGCCCGTTTCCCAGCAGCACCTAAAACATCGGCTGCTTGCATGGTGATGCATCTGCCTCCCCCATAATTAATTTTAAAGAGGAAAAGGCAAAGTGCTGACTAAGCCAGGCCTTTGCCCTGTGAAGCTGCGTGATTCACGAGCTGCTGATGGCACAGACTTGTCCTGCAGAGTATTTCTCTGAGGTCGGGAAATGCCTCCTTTCCCTGCTCCAAATTAAAGAAAACAATCATATTTACCATCATTATCATCTGCAGGACCCAAAAATATTTTTGCACCCTGCAGGGTCCCGGGGGCACATAGTGAGCCCCATCCCCATGGGACATGGGGTGAAGCAGTGCTTCCTTCCCGCAGGTCCCAAATCAAGACAAATTCTCAGGAAGCAGGGAAACACAAGCAGGCGAAAGGGGCACTGTGAGGCCACCGCTAACCTCTCCCTCCACTGCTTACAGGTCTAACACCTCCGTTCCTGGATGTAAGCCTCCAGGTGCCATGGCATAGGGATGGTGGTGGGAGCTGCTTGGCTCATGCCAAGCCCATGTTAGACCCGTTGGTGCCTGGCAGGCAGCCGGGGTGTGTTTTTTCAGCTCAGATTGCCACAGCTGTAGAGTTCAAAGCCTCCCCTCTGGCTTTTCCTGGTGGAAACCCAGGTTTGCTTCTGCGTTTTAAAGCAGAAGCTGTATTCTCTGCTGACAGGGTTGAAATCAGTCCTTTCAGCTCCGCAAGGGAGAAGGCTCTGTGGGTGGACTGCCGGTGTTTCCCAAAGACCCCAAGCCAGAGGCAATGATAACAGTGAGGGGCCGTGAGGCTGCATCTCAGGTGTCTTCTTGCTAAGAGGAGAATGATGTTAGGTGATTGACAGTTTTTTTGTTGGGGCGGGAGGAACAAGAATGTGATATTTTGGGATGCCTCATGAATGAGGCGGTCATGTCTGTGATATGATGATGAAGCCATGGTAGATGACTTTCATCTTCTGGGGTGACGCATGTCCCTGTGGCCCTGCCTTGCAGAGTTTGATGGAGAATCGGTCGGATGACAGCAGGAACTGTTGTTATCACCGGGGGAATCCTAGCGACAGTGATCCTACTGTGCATCATTGCCGTGCTCTGCTACTGTAGGCTACAGGTGAGTGCTGCAGCTGTCCACATCTTGCCACAAACCCCGGCAGTGGCACTGCTCCTGTGACTGAACTGATGCTGCAGGAGTGGTCTCAAAGGGCGTTTATTGCCTGCGATGGACAGGAAGTTGAAATACCATCTCCCCCAGGTACTGCAGAGTTATGTCCATTCCTCATCCCAGTGTCGGGAGACTCTCCTAAGGCTTTTGAGGCTCTGCAGTGCTTGCTAATTTAGGTGTAGGCTTGGCTGGGGTTGCAATACCAGACCGAGATTTTTTGTGTTGGGGTTTTTTTTCCCCAGTGTAAATGAAACGAGGAGGCTTTCTGCAACAGCTAGCTACAACCTCCTGCTCTTTAAAAGTTAATGTCAAGTCTGTGCCATGCAGCAGTGTGATGAAAAGCACAGCAGTTATTTGGAGGAGTTTTCAACTGTCATGGTAAAATACCTTCCTCTTGCAAACCTCACTGGGAGGGGACAGGATGAGTTCCCAGCAGCTGCCTGCTGCAGAATGTTCAGGTCTGGGTTTGTCCAGCTTCTGCTTTGCAGGACCAGGTACTGGTGGAGCAGATCAGCAAAGGCCAACAGAGGGTTTCTCTGCCATGGGGATGAGGGGGCGGGGATGTGGCAGGGCAGGCTGTTTTAAGACGAATTCAGCTGCTCTGCTTCCCCTAATACAACCCTTTCCCTTTCATGCAGTACTACTGCTGCAAGAAAGATGACTCTGATGAGGAAGAGGAGGAGGAGGAGGACGAAGAGGAAGAGCCAGACGTTCCCACACACTCGCACCTCGGCATGTGCAACGCCTGCAGCTCCCACATGGTGGACGGCCACGGAAGCCCTGCGCCCCCCCCCAGCGAGCTCAACCAGCACGGGGCTCACAACTACTGCCCGACCTGCTCCCCCTACGGCTCCCCCTTTTACATCCGGACTGCCGACATGGTGCGCAATGGGGGCGAGAGGGTCACCTACACCCCTGCATGCTACAAGGAGATGGGGCCACCCATCAACATGGGCACCCTGCAGAGCTACCTGGTGAGCCGCCACAGCCTCCTCCGCGAGAGCTTCCCGAACCCACGGGCTATCAGCACAGAGGTGTAGTCACCATTGCCACTAGCACAGGGTGTTCCCAGCCGGCACCTGCTCGAGGGAAGGGGCTTTTCACTTGTCTTTGGAGGGGGGGTCCTGCAGAAAAGACCCCATAATTCCAGCCCGAGACCAGCATGGTCCTCCTGCTGAACCGCCCAGTGCAGCTGAGGTTTTTGGGCAAGAAGACAAGAGAGACCTCAAATGACGACATTGAACCGGTCACCTCTGAACCCATCATAAGTGTCATTATTATTCTACTCTATCTCCTGAGGGGACTTGTCTAATGAGGGCTATGTACAGTACAACCTAATTTAATTACCCCAGGCTCCCCAACTCCCCAAGCCTAGAGTGAGGCATTGGGTGTCCCCCCACGCAGCCACCCGAGGCGATGTCCACCACCTCTAGCACACAGAGCGATACGTGACCCCCACACCGGCTGCTGCCCCTGGCAAATCCCACTGCTGAGCTGCGAACGGCAGCACTCCTGGCCGACAGGAAAGCAAAGAAGGGAAGATCCAGATCATCCTGCTCCCCTTGTACTGAGTTATTTGCCACTAGCAGTTAGCTTTCATGTTCGAGTGTAAGATAGGACACCTTCTACCACCCGCTTTGGTCTTTGCACATTCTGAAGAAGTTCAAGACATGAGTTTACATCACTGCCGAGGGAGGCAAAGTTGCTCACAAAACCATTCACCCACACAAGTGGTCACAGGATGATCTTTCTGCAGCCAAAGTCCCACCCTCTTTCACTCTTCACAAGCTTTTTTAGGAGTGATTTTAACTTGGACCCATAAAAACAGCAAAATTTTACTTATGGGAAGAATTGCATCCCTAGGTAACTGCAGTTTTGGTCATCTTCAGCTTTCAAAGACCTAGCCAGGCCACCCTGACAGCTCCGGACAGCCACAGGAAGGTTGGCTCTAGGATGGCTTTTGCTTTCGACATCAACAGCAGAGACCACTGGGTCACATCTCCTCCTCTGAGGGGCCCACAACCTGCAATGGGAAAGACGCGATGTTCCATTGGTCAGGATCCCCTCTTCTGCTTTTGGAAGAAGAGGGTGCAAGACCCAAACTCGGCTTCACCGGCTCTGTGGCTGGTAATGACAGCCAGTGACTCTGCCTCTCTGCAAAAAATGAATGTGGGAAAGTTCCTTCTTCCTCCATAAATCAGATTAGGTGAAAAATTACTAAAAGGGCATCTCCATCGTTCACAGGCACTTCCGTAGCAACTGGTGCAGAACTGCTCAGCTGAGCACTTCACAGTCAATGCGGGAGGAAGGACCAGGACAGCAACGATTCCCACAGCCCTGCAGATGCTGTTGGAGGCAGTGATAGGAAATGCTTGCCATGCCTTTGCAATATAGGGTACCACTGCTCAGAAATCTGAGTGGTGGGTTGGTTATTTTCACCACTGCAATTTAGAAATCAGCCTGCTGCTCACAGAAGGATTTGGACTTAACCTCCCTGTTCACGCACAGAAAAAGTATAAGTCCTGGCATAGAGGTGTGGGCTACATGAGTCTTGAATGTCTACGTTATCAGGCAAAAGGCTAATTTACACTTTGGGCCTGCCCATGCCTTGGCACCTCCGCACCAACTACCCAAAGAAAGGAAACAAGACAAATGCCAAATGTGGTGAAGCCATAGTAACCAAACACCTTGCCCCAGCCTCCATTTTACACAGCCTTTTGTGCAAGCTTTATGCACCATCTTCCCCACCTCCAGCTCAGTAAGTCATTGTATTTCCATTATTCTGAGACTCAGCCTAACTGCAGTGCTTTTAGAGTCTCCTTCCATTCTCCAAATAGTGATACCAGGTTTTAAATGTCCTCTCACATTAAGGGCAGGCAGGCAGGAAGACCAAAGTTATCAGCTGCAAAACTGTCTGGATCCCACTGGGCAACAGTCCATGCTTCCCATCCAGCCAGTACTCCTCCCTGAAAACAAGTCTGTAACTCGAAAAAATATCTTGACTAAGTCGGTAAATTCCATCCTTTTCCACTAGAGCATCTGCTCAACTAGGTCTCATCCTGCTGGAAGCCACGAGAAGTTAGTATGTCCCAGCGTGATCTGCAGGCTGCCACCTGCACAGCTCCACCAGACGGCCCTGAAATGCTGTCGCCTCGAAGGGCACAGAGCCCTCACAGGCACAGCGGCTCCCGGCATCCAACTCTACCTCTTGGCACACAGCAAGGCTTCCCGCTGCAACAACAGCACGTGCCGGGCAGTGACCATCAGAGGGTGGGAATAACACAGGGGCTTTTGCTTCTGTGGATCACCCTTCTGGTGAAGCCAACCGCATCATCCTCACATGCACATTAAGCGTGACCCGTCACTGGCTAACGAGGTGCCAAGGCTGGCAGGGCAGTTCCAGAATAGCTGGATAACCAAGGAAGAGGGCTAGCCTCACAGGCAACACAACACCCTGGGTCTGGCACAGCTACAGGGAAACGGGTGAGTCTGAAAGGGTTGGAAACACAGGAAATGCAGATGTGGGTTCGAAGATTTGGGGGATGGTGGAGGAACAGGATGGGGTAGAGGCAGGGATCCCAGATTTTTTCAACTTCAGATTCCTCCTGGTATTATTCTGTGTCTTTGTTGCTCAGCTATGGGTCCAAATTCAATGTCAGAAATAAATGAGGACTTTGAAATACAAACAGGATTGGTTTCTGTTCTCTGGCAGGCAACACAAAATGGGGTTACCTGGTGTTGCCTGGAAGCTATACTGATGCAAGAATTTTTCCTCCCCACCCTTCCTGCTCCTGCTTTTGTTCCTTGTGGCCCCTCTCTTCCCTTGCCTCTGGTCTAGGTGCATGCATCCCAAAACCACAGTTTTATAGTTTAGCTCTTTATTGTGACACAGAATTTTTCAGTGTGTTTTGGAAATTGTCCTTCTAGTATAAAAATCTGCAGGGCTGACCAGAGAGATGGCTGCTCTTGTCTGTGCCCTGTTGCAGGCTGGCCTCTGCCCCCCACTGCCTCCAGCTAGAGCTCTTCAGAGATGATGACAGCAGGGACAGGCTTTGACAACTCACTTCTCAGTAGCTTTTGAGGAACTGATGGGTTATCTTGTGTAAAATCCTCTTGGTGGAGAGGGCACAGTGATGACTAACTCCTAGGAATTCTTCCTCAGTGAGCAGGCTGGTCTACAGGGACTGGCTCCACAGCCAAGCCAAGTGGTGTGGCTTCAAGTGGTAAAGTCTGGCTCGAGAGAGCTCTTGCCCCTTAACATGGAAGGGAAATATGACCTGACAGCAGTCATGGTGACCTGAGCCGACATGACCAGCAGCAAGCCTTTCTGTAGTACCAGTGGGAGCACAGCTTCACCTTCAGCACCAGCACACAGTTGGCTGTCGCTTTATCTTCACAGTCCTCTTCTAGGGAACAGAAGCATCCACAGAAGGCATTAAAAAGGAGATGTGCTTCCCCAGCAAACAGCTGGACAAAGGGCTCCCAAGGGCTCCACTCCCTCCCTACCCTCCCACACTTACCTGGTGCCTCTGTGGGGCATGGCTGGAGCTGGCATGTCTGCCTGGCTTCTGGTTTGGAAGTAGGGTCACAACCCTGAGCCAGTGCTTCCCCTTGGTAGCACTTTACTTCACGCAGTCGCACACCAGCACCACATGTCTTGCTGCACTGTCAGCATCAAGAGGATAAAGGAATCATGAGAGATATTCTTTTATTTTTCTGTAGTTTCCAAGTTTGTTCTTCCAGTGAGGCCTCCCAGTCCCTGCTTTGGGTACTGTTCTTGAGGAGGTCTGGGTAAATTTCACACTGATCACAAACTTACGCTCCCTTTTTGTTGCTGGAGCGGAACCTCCCAGAGCTGGGGTCAGGACAGAGCAATGAAGGTGTTTGCTTTCACCTCTTTAGTGCAACTTGCAATGTTTTTTTCTTGGACTGTCAATGGACTGCAGTAGGAGAAAAATGGCTGCTGTGAGCCAGGCCCAGTTTCCCCTGTCCTCCATTCCATAAAGGCTCACCAGTTAAATCAAGGGAAAGCCAGAACACTCAATGCTGGCTGTATCCTGTATGTCTGCAGTATGGCGCATGCTCATGGCTAGAAGGTTTTCCCCAGCTTGCATGTGCCAGTCCCTTCACCTGCTGCCTGGTCTGCAGAAGAGTAGAGCTTATGGGGTCCCATCCAGACCTGACAGAGCCATCAGCAGAACATCCTGCTAGAAAACCTTAATGCAGGTTGTGCTCCACCAACCAGGATTATGAGGCCTCCTCTCCCCCTTCCCCACCACCCTGAGCCCTACCTGAGACCATGACGTAGTGAACCACGTTGCACATGGCCTCCTGAAACAGGTAGCTTGTTCCTCAGGTTTCTGAGAAGCTTCACAGTGCTTCTCAGGGTACTCCCTGTACACTCCATTCTCCAGGCCTGCACACAAGACAACCCGGCTCTTCACCCCTCGCCCACAGCTGGCGTCACACTGGGAAAGAGAACATAAAAGCCAGGTAACAAATGATGCTTGTCAGCTGTAGAGCTTCAAGTAGTATGGCATCCTGCTCAGAAGCAGGGTGCATAATGTCTCTGCTAATACCAGTCTAATGGAGCTAGTGCTGCCCAGGTCACAGCAGCAATGGGTGTCTGCAAAAGAGCTGAGTTTTGTAGGGAGCGGGGACTCTCTAGTTAGTGGTAATTAGTGTTTAGCCAGCGCTGGGGATGCCAAATTCACCTCTGCTAGCCTTGAGAGCAGCTACAAGGGATCTGGAGTAGCCAAGGTAAGATTACAAGATACTGTTTCTGTCTTATTTTACGTGTATCTATGGTCTCAAAAAACACATACCCTATTCATGTAGCAACCTATGTTTTGGAATACGGACAAGCTTTGTGTGAGACCCAGGGGACTAAACTGGTACAGTGGAGGTAAGTTGCATGGACAAGTACTACTGAGCCCAAAGCTACATGTGCCTAGCTGGGAGGACTCACCCTCTCGGGACACCACCAAGAGAAGCAGCTCATTCCAGCTTAGCTCTGCTTCCTGATGCCCACGGAGACAACTGCCAGTTTCAGATTTCACTGCTTTGTCCCTTCACCACAGCAGGGCCAGCATAACTAGCTTGTGTCTGCCCTTAGTCATCCTGTGAACTCAGAGCTTACCAGCTGAGAGAGAGAACACAGCAAAGGCAAAGAACCTGGCACATACAAAGGTGGGGAATTTGGATTCAAGCGAGTTTAATAACCTGGATACAGCTGAAAAACTGCACTGCAGTATTGTCTGTGACCCACACTATAGGCCAGAGCTAAAGAGGGTTACAGAACTGCCACAGGTCCCCAAGTTTAACTAGTCTGTGATTGTTACCAGTGCTGGAGAGAGACTCAGCTGAATGTAGTCAACAGCTATAAAGGATAGCAAAATGAGAACAGAGACAAGACTTCATTGCTTCTCTGGTTCCCTAGAAATCTTTTTTCTTACTACTCTGTGAATCCATGTTTTGCTTAGGACTTTAAGGACAAATCCCAAAATTGGCTCAGTGTGCTCTTCTAGGTACACTGGGATTTGGATCAGCTTGTATGAGGAAGCCTAAAGCCTCAAGGCCTTAAGTAACAGAAGGGAAGTATGAAGATCGACAGAGACCAATTGACTGATTGTTAGAACAGGGCCCTGGACCATTTTTACTAGACCAAGTAAAAGTTCTGAGGCAAGTACACAGTCAGTGGCCTGGACACAACTTCCAGGACAGAGATGTGGACTATAGTTCAGGTTTATCTTCAGATATTATTTATCAGAGATGAAGCTATGTTTGTTGAGCCTTTCTCTTTAGCATGTAGGACCAAACTCTTGAGATGAGTGAGTGCAGGTTGTGGACAAAAAGCTCTGCTGAGGTGTCTGCAATAACCCACCTATGAGCCAGAAGCGGAAGAGTGTAGTTTCTATAAGTCATTGCTGCCCTCCAATGGAGGTCCCTAGGAAGACAGCAAATGCCACAGACTCTGGCAGACTATAGGGTATTGGAGGCTGGGGGCAAGCTGGGGTATTCATTACTTGTTCCTCCTTTCTAAAAGGAACTAGGAGAAGGATACAGCCCCAAGGCTAGAGGTCACACCATACAACCTTATTCCAAGGCAGCCAGGCTCCTACCGTCTCCTATGGGATAAAGGGTGGAAAGGAGGGCTGAGGACACAGGGCTGTGCTTGGCTTTACCTGGTCCCACTCCTGCTCCACCCAATGTGCGGGGCAGTTCTTGTCTCCACACGGATGGACAGCCAGGGGCTTCGTGACTGGGTCACACTGCGAGTTGGAGATCACCTTGCCCTCCAGGTTGCGACACGCGATGAAGCGGCTCATGCGTCCCTCACCACACGAACCTGAGCACTTGGAGGAATAAAGGGCATACAGACACATCAGAAAGCAGGAAGCTGGAGGGGTCAGGGTTGGTGGTGCCAGGAGACCTGAGTCCAGAGCCTGGCCCTGCCACTGGGACTGTGACACTGGATCCCAAGGGTCTTTAGAGGTACATCTGGTCAGGGGCTTTCATTTTCCTGGTGCTATGAGCTTCCCAGGTAATTGAATGTAACTCACCTCTAACAGCTAACCAACATTTACAGCATGAAGAGGCAAAAATACTCTAGTTTCTTTAGATTAGCCTCTTCCAGAAGAAAGCCAAAAGAGAGCAGTAGCATGACAGCCTGCCTGCTGCCTCCTGCCAGCCCTGCCTCCCCAGCATCAGGTACAAGCAGAAGGAGACCCTCAGCACTCACCGGGCCCCAATCCGACGCAGTCCAGTGGCGGTCGCAGGGTGGGCCTGTGCAAGCCTTCTCGCTGCTGGGCTTCTGGGACTCATCACAGAGGGGTGCTTCCACCGAGCAGCGCACCTCCCGCTTCATCATCCCCTGAGTGCCACACCGGGCTGAACACTGCAACGGCCATACACAGTCAGCCCTGGGGCTGAGACCAAGAAGGATGAGCAAAAGCGAGGGAGGCAGCTATGCCTCCTCCCATTTCCTTCTGCAGCACTAGGTGAGAGGGGAAGAGCACCAGCAGGGACAGGAAAAGGTGGGTCCGTCTCTATCTCTGCTGCTTATTTAATTTGGGTCCTAGAGTTCCAACACTCCAAGACGCTGATACCTGGAGTGCTGTTCAAAGTCACTAGTTCCCTGGCCCAGTACCAAGCAGACTGTGGAGAGTTAATCAAAAGAATTTTGATTGAATTTTAGCTTCTCTGTGTCTCCATGCTACTGTTTCCCTATTTGCTCTTAGAATCATAGAATTGTTTAGAACCTCTGGAGAGGGAGGTAAAGCCTCTTGCTTGCAGGGCTTTAATTTGGTCTACATCCTGCTTGAGAAGTGACCTTAGAAAAAACGTTTTGCAATGGATTTTGTCTGCTGAGCAGTGCCAGAACCGGGTAGCCACGCATAAAGGGAGTCCTTGCTTCCTCAGGATGCATTTAGCCAAGGGGTTCTTTAGCACCCAACATCTACTAGCCACCTTCCTCCAGGCCCCAGCCCAGCCCTGGCTGCTTACCTCTGGAAGCAAAGCTCTCCTGGTGCTTACCTACCTCAGACCACTCGGAGAGCTCCCACTGGGGCCCACAGGCCTTGTTCTTGCAGGCTTTCCTCTCCATGGGCCTGGCCAGCCCAGCTGACTCACAGAGGTCATCATAAACAGAGCTGTCGAAGCCTGGAGCCAGCATCTTCCAGCAGCGCACGGTGCGGTACTGATAGCCCTCACTGCAGGTTCTGGAGCACTCGCTCCACCGGCTGGTCTCCCACCTCCACGGGCAGTTCCAAGGAGAGAGGGCACAAAGGAAAACCCAGGTAAGGGAGACAAGGGGCATGGGATGGCTGGGGAATGCCTGCATACCTGGAAACCTCTCACCCAGTAGCTGCTGCTATAAATCTGCTCATCACATATATGTCTGTATTAAGGCAATGCTGGCCTAACTGCAGGCAATTCAGACAGCAAATTTCTTCCCTCTTTTTGCTTAAAAAGGATACTTTCAAGTTTAAGCATATCTTCCAGCCCAGAAATGGCTGTACACATTGAGCAAAAAATGATCCTTAGAAAGACATCTTGTCCCTGTGGACAGCTGATGTAATTTCCACTCACCTAGGCTGGCAATCTCTCCCTGTGCAAAATTCGTGAGTAGGTTCTGGTCGGGTTAGGGCATCGCAGTATGTTTCATCCACTTCCACTCCATCATACCGGACACATATCGCGTAAGAGGCACTGATACCTGCTGAGCAATCAAGACACTCCCTTGGTCACACTCCATTGGATTAAAAGCCTCCGCTCACCATGATTAAATTGCTGGAGTGCTCACTGCATCTGAAATGCTACCTGCCATTTTAAAAAATACCAGTACTCACTCCATCAACAGCCAAAAAGGACTTCACAAGATCAGTCACTCAAAGCCAAACCTACCTGAAGTGCATGTGGAGCTGCAGGGGGCATAAGCTGAGACTTTCCACCGATACATGTCAGCCAAGCTTATGTCATCATGGCCGACAGGGCTCACATCAAACTCATTGCTGTGGAAAAAGGAGGCAATAAGAGCTAAAAATGAAGAATTAACACACACATAATATACCGAAATTCCTCTTCAGTGTCTCTGAAGATGTGAAAAAACCTAGTGTTTCTGCTCTCCACCTCCCCCACATTGGGCAAGATGAACCACTGATGAACATGTAAAGCCTTGATCCACCTCCTGAATTCAATAAGCAAGGCAGTGTTATCAACATCACTGTTGAGAGAAGGCAACACTCATAATGAGTCTTGTGTATATTATGGTCTTTTGACCAAGCCGGTGCCCTCAGCCTCAGTTCACACTATCACTTTGAGAGGTATACTAGGTTGGAAAGGGGAGCTCAAGCATGGTCCTTCTTAGTATATAATTTGGTGAGAAGAATTCACATGTGGCTTGCCAGAAATGTTTAAAAGTTGGCCCTCATTCTCCTGCCAAATATTTACTGATGTTACAGAAGCTTCAACAAGTTTATGTGCTCAGAGGAATGGAACAGAAGGGGCATGATGTAGTGGTAAACACGTGACATGCTACAGACTCCTAGCCTTAGAATCATAGAATAGTTAGGGTTGGAAAGGACCTTAAGATCATCAAGTTCCAACGCCCCTGCCATGGGCATCTTTACAACTACATCAGTGTTGGCTTCACAGGTCCTTCAGCATGTGTTTAAATGGATCCCCTAGATGCAAGGGACCTGAAATACATTCTGGGAGCCCTGTCTCAAGCCGATTGTAACAATCAGTCTTTGGAGGACATACCATTGGTCAAGCATCTACATCAGCTGCCACGGGCAGACACTGGTGAATGGGTACATCAAGGACAGCAGTGGGACTACCAAAGGACTGACTTGTCTTTCCCTCCCTAGCTAACCATGCATTTTTTTGCCCATGAAATCAAGTGCCACCTTTCAGTGCCAGGAGCTTGCAAAGGCTCTGCTTGGCTGATGTCCATGGTTGGGCTGGCACCTAGCAGAGGGCTCTCCACAGGTGCCATCATGCTGTAGTTGGCTGCTTCCCCCTGACTCCCAGCAAATGCATCCACCTTCAAGTCTTCCAGTGAGTTCTTACGGGCCGGCACTTTGTGGAGGCCCTGTGGCCACCGAGCAGCTGTCTCAGTCCATAGCCCCGCTGTGGAGTTTCTTGAGGTCAGCCTGGCGGCCAGGTGCTGCAGCTCCCTACAGAAGGCAGTGTTGTGTGGGTCTCGGTGACACAGGCGTCTGAAGAGATGAAGCCTGGAGGATGCTATGTGGCTGTTCTCTGGGAGCTCGGATCTCCTCATGCTGTAAGGTACAGCTGTGCTGATGGAAATCTGATTGAACCTAAGAGCTGGAAAAAAATACAGGCATGCTTGAACTATATTGAATGGCTTATACTTCAGCATGTGGTATTTAACAAGAAAAAAGAACTTATTTGGCCTCAAAATCACTTTTTTTTTTTTTGCCACCAGAGTGCACCAACAGGCCTTAACTGCCCTGAGCAGCTTCACACACACTCTGCCATTGCTCAGGAGCTCCAATTAAGTGCAGGCCTGGGCCTTCATTTCTGGTGTTCTTTCTTCCTAAATTGTTGTTTGGCTTCCCCAGACTGACCTCAGATTGGACTTCTCCCCTTGTTTTTACCTGATGATCTCTGGACTGTTGCTAGGACCTGCTCCTGTCCCTGCCCTGCCTGCCAAGCTCAGGTGCTGTGGGGCTGCTCTGCCTATGAGGGCATTGACTGATCTCTGCTGCGGTCACTCTCTCCCAGCTCCCCTTCCCTAACAGTTACTAGCCCTTGCTGCTCCCTGACAGTCTCCACACCACTACCAAGTGTCATTCCTTCCTGTCCACCCTGATGATAAAGCCACCTTAGACTTCAAGAAGACCAGTGTGGGATGTCCTCTTCCAATGAATAAACTGGGAGAGAAGGAACGACAAAGCAACCAACCCAACTCTGTTTCTCCATCAACTGCTGCTGCTTCCTCCTCCTCTCCTGCTGTGTTTGTGGGATAGATCTGTCTTATCTGGAAGTCATACTTCTTCTCTTCACCTTGTTCCCAGCCCCAGTCCTGAGCCTGACTGGTGGAGTTGGTCGGGAAGAAGTGTGGGTGACCCAACCCTAAATCTTCATGCCCTTCTCTTAGAGGAAGCTGTTCACTGGTATCATCTGGCGACAGAGTGAGCCATGTGGCGTTGAAGTCCTGGGCAGCTCTGGAGTTAGCTGGAATGGGATAGTTCTGGCTGGTCTCTGGTAGGTGGTGGTAGAGAGGTCTGTCTATATCAGGGGCTGCAGTTTGGAGAGGCAGTATCCGTGGTACAGTGTAGTCGTAAGTTATGTGTGGCATTTTCCCATTGAAGTTGTAGTACTGGAGGAAACGGAGAAAGAAAACAAAACTCTCTTTATCTTAAGGGCATGTATTTCCCAGAGAACTTCCCTAGCCACAGCCATCTTGTGATGGATGATAAAAGAAGACAGCATCCTCATAAATCCAAGAGAAGTACACACAGCCAAACCAATATACGGCTTCCTCAGCAACCTACCGGTTTGACTTGGGAACCAGGTTAATACTCCCCTTGTCTGAGGGAGGCTTACAGTTTTCGTATAGGCAAGATAGGAAAGCTTAAAACTAGTTCCTTACATACCATGGCATTTAGAGACTGGTTAGTGGGTCCGTGAGCTATGATATACTCCAGTCCATCTGAGTTCAGGCTCAAGGGCCGCCGGTACTTGAAGACTGTGCCAGCTACCCTGAAGTTCTGAGGGTTGTCAATGGCAGAGTTACCATTGAAGAAGAAATGTCCAGACTCATCTGCAAGTGCTTCAAAGAGAGAGAAAATGGGTAAATGTGATACTCTGTTCAGAACACTGGGGCTGCACTGGTACTGAGGAGAGCAAACAGCTCAAGACCAAGAAAAATCCAACAGAAAAAGAACTATAGGCCTTCCAGCATTCATCTTCCACATCAGGTCAGCAGTGTTCAGTGCCTGGTGCTTTCATTTCCCTCTCCAACAACAGCGCAAATGTCTTCACAACAGGGACAGTCTATAGTGAGCTGTTTCCAAATGTCCCTCTTGTCACTGGTTGCTGGAGATATAACTTTGATTTATGGATAGATGAAGTGCCCCTATGCTACCCTAGAGGAAATGCTCACAGATAGCTCTCTCACAGGAATGACAGGAGTGCACAGAGCCATCTTCCCACCTCCCAGGCAGCTGAACTGGGATCTCCACATCCATCTGGTTCCTCTGCTTACCTAGGATGTTTTCTGTTTTCCTGCGCTCAATGATAAGGATGTCTGTGGCACCAGCTGGAATGTTGGTGATGAACACATAACCTGATGAACAGAACAGGGTGTGAGGAAACCTCAAGGACAAAATAAAAAGGTCTGGGTAGGAAAAGCAGGTGGCAGGACAAGTGTGTATGTAGGAGGGCAATGCTGCCCTTTAGGGGTAGGACTCTTATTTGCATTACAAATCACTGCTATAGATCTCTAAGGCTCAGCCTGAGCACTACTGGGTCTGGAGTGAGGAAGGAGCTGCACAAGTATAACAGTCTGGCTTTAATGTGTGGTTGAATGTGCTGTTGCAGTCTTTCTGGCAAGAGCAGAGAAAAAGCTTACTAGTGATCAGGATTGATGCTAAACAGAGGATGGAAAAAACACAGGGCCCCTCAGCAACTGACTCAACAGAATTTGTCTCAGGAGTAGCATAAAAATTGACCTTTAAAAGGAGAGGAAATAAGAAGGCTCTTAAAAGTTGTGGGTTTGGCAGCTTGTCTTTCCTGCTAGAAATGCAGGTCTTGTCCATTCTGTAAGATTTTATGAGGACTGGAATTGGAAGCCAAATCCATACATGTACTGCTGGAGAGGTTAGCACCATTACCCCTGCTCTGGAAAGGGGCCTGAGTGCTTTCCTGGTCTGGTGTCCGTAGGGAGTGATGCAGACTAGTGAAACATCAACAGTATGAAATGTTCCAAAACACTCTCAAACACGAGTTAATTAACTACTACTGAGTATACCACAGTCTTTTCCTTCTGTGGGTGGAAGAATGGGCCATGAAGTTGCAAGGGATGAATCTCAGCCCAGTTTCAGGGGGGTTCTCTTCAGCCGTGCCAGCCATAGGACTGGGTAAAGCAGGAGTCTAATTGAAGGCTGAAACACTGTGACCCTCATCATAGGAGCTTAAGTTTAAAATGAATACATAGCACAAATAAAAAAAAGATTCATTGATCTCTTCACATTATCTGAGGTAGTCAAGATGCCAAAATCAATAGGAACAAATAGATCCCCAGATGCTTCCTGTTGTAAAGAAGTGAAGGGAAACCTTACCAGCCTAATATACAGCACATCAAAACCTATCTCCTCTGGTGAATAAGTGAAAAGGACAAATTACAGGCATTTAAGCAGGCATGGTACTCTTCAGGTCTTTCCATCAAGCAGCTGGGAAACTCCTACCCGCATCCAAGCCAGTCACCCTTCATGCCCGCTGGTGTAAGAAGTAGCAGGTGAAGTCTCCAGACTGTGGTAGCAGGGAGTACCTATCTGTGAGATTGCCTTTCGGAAGCTGCCCGAGACACGGTGGCAAGTGCTGCCGTCCCCTCCACACACCCTGCATCTGTCCATCGTCTGGGGTGAGTACAGGCTCCCATCGCACCCAACTGGCTGCAAGGAATAGAAGAAGAGAGGGTTTCCCGGGGCCAGCATATCTCCACAGGTCAGGGTCTTTTCAAGAAAATGCTACCATGCTCTTTTGGTGAGGCTCTGGGAGTGGGTGATACAGGTTAGCTTGGAATAGAGTAATGAATGAACCCCACAGCAGCAGTAATTCACCCAGGCATGCACTTACATGCTCCTGATTTCTATACTAATTCCTCCCAGAGCCTCACCTCACATTTCCCATTGATGCAGACCCCTTGATAGGTCCTGTCCTTGCAGGAGGTACCATCCTGGGCTTGGACCATCAGCTGCCTCTCTCCACTTTGGGTAGTGCACTGGAGGTCACATGGTTTATTGGAGATACTGGTGTAGTCATCTGAAGGGACAGAGGCAGAAAGTCACCAGGCAGATCAAGGTACTCAGAGATGGGCAGTGAGAAAGGGGACTTTCCTCTTACTCATACTGATGTCAGCTTGGATATTCTTGCTGCTTGAGATGAGACCCCAAGGTTACAGATTTTGTAGTACCAAAGTGGGCATGGTATGGGGCTGCAGCTGGGAACTATGCCTAGCAGAAATAGTTCTTGCTGGCAAGCCCTTTTCTTTGCCATACCCTCTCCCCTTTGCAATGCCCTGTGCCAAACATGGGACTATGCATTAGCAGATCCCAGGCCACACATTAATACAAAAGAGCAAGCAAGACCTGTAAGAGGGATACTGACTATGTGGGGCTGTGGGCAGGTCCACCCCATTCAGCTCAGAAAGTGAAGCTAGAGATGCAGCTATGTCCCCTTGGCAGCTAACGGAAAAACAGGTGGGTCCAGAAAGAGGGTAATATCTGTGGTGAGCTCAGTCTGGGCCTCAAGGCACAACTGGTAACCCATGTGAAGCAATCTGTCATCTTGCTTGTACAGGAAATAGATGGGCATCCTGTTCAGAACAACCCACCACCAACCCCGTATAAAGCATGCTGGGTGACAGGCAGCCAAAATTGTAAGAAGGCACAAAGAGCGTGAACACCCACTCTGCCAAGATGACTGCTGGTTAGCCAAGACAACTCAGAGAAGCCTGTGTCCTGTCTGCCCACCAGTGCTTGCTGATGTAGGATCCAAAACAGGAGCAATGTGGTGAGAGAGGAGGCCTGGCTGGGTGGAGCAGTTCTGTGAAAAGACAGGGAACGATTTCTCCAAAGCAGGGAGCATAGGGAAGCACTTCCAGACCAGCCAGGAGCATCCATCCCTTTTCCCCTGGGACCTTCCCCTTCTCCTGTGTCAGAAAATACTGTAGTTTTTTTCTCTCCCTGATCCTTTGAGTGAAGCTGTGAAAACCCACCTGGATAGAGAGGCATCCAGTGGTAGTAACGCTTCCCAAAGGCTTTGGCATTGAAACTGGAGCACTGCTGCTGTTTGAAGCTTGCTGTATTGGCTGGGCAGGGCTATGGAGGGAATAAATGTGATCAAAAGCTCCCTATGTCACAGCCATGGTTGTGACAGCTGCTTATCCCTTCTGCATCCCTGGAGGATGAAAATGCCCTGTCCACCCTGGAAGGAATCAGTGATGGGCTCTGAGATGCTGTAATACAAGCAGAAAGGCCAGGCCTCTGTTGCCAAGGGCCCTTCGGACAGCTGTATTTAACAGTCCTGCAAAACTTACTTCCAGCAAAGAAAAAACATACTGGAAAAACGTTATTCACCTCCCCACCCCACAACAAATACATTTTTATATCCTCTTCCCCCACCTCCCAGTCCCAGAGAGTAGAGCCCATCTCTTATATCTTCAAAGGCACACTGTCACCCACTCCAGGAGTCGATCACACCCCCATCTGCACTCTGAATGCTGCTACTCTTGCAGCTCTCTGAATTTCACATTCCCCAGTGAGGACCAGTTAGTACTGGAAGTTGCTCTTACCTGCTGCTGACACAGTTGGTAGTGCTTGGCTTGACCAACACATATGGTACTGTTTGTTGCCTGGGGTATCTGTAGCCTGCAAACCAGAAAGAAAATGAGCTGGAGGTCTGTGAAGTACTGAAGTAGTAATGACAGAGAAGCTAGGCCTGACTTAAGGAGGGGAAGCAAGGCAGGTATTTTATCACAGGAAAGCTTTCTGGATCTAGACTAGCCAACATCTCTGAAGCCCATTTTCTGTGGTTTTAGGTGAACTGCGATTTTAGATTACTCTCATTTTGGGACAGGTTGTGCAGACAGGAAGCAACCAGCACCACCACCTCTGTGTCTCTTGACCTCTGAGCTCCAAAAAGGTTGATGTGATGAAACGACAACAGACCCTGATGATGCTTCACTCCCATGGAAGCACACAGGATTTGCAGTGACTAGGGAAGCTGATCTCAGAATTCACTCTGCAGAAGGCAGAGATGGAACCTCTCATGGGGACTGGCCCAGTTAAAAGATTAGCAGATGATGGACCAAAACCATGGGAATTTCTCAACACTTCAGCTCTGGACAGCAAGGGTTATCCATGGGACACTGCAGCCTGGACTGATGCAAAGGGAAACAAATTCTTGAAAGCTGGTAAGACATATGGAGAATGGCCGAGACCACAGATTAAGGCAACAGTGTGTGTGAACAGGAGTAGCAGACAATGTGTTAACAGTATTTGGAACTTAGGGTGCACTTTGTAATGAAGAAGTCTGTAGGCATACTCAGGCTGGACTAGCTGGAGGCTCTGCAACTGTCCCTCCAGAACAATGCTTTACATGATGTAGGCAAAGCCTAAATTTACACCAACCAGCTTGAAAACTGCCATCCTTTCCAGCTGAAGTAGAGGCTGCCTGCAGCCTCAGAAATCATTTTGTCAGCATACCTGGCTCAGACTCCTTAAAGCTGAAGAAACCTTTTGACTGGCTTTTATGGTGAGGGGTTTTTTGTTTGTTTGTTTGCTTGAATCTGACTCAATCCCTGGAGTAAAATGCCATAGCAAAGTCCTCCCCTCCCCGGTTGTGGTGTCAAGGATAGAGCAGATGCCAAATGGAGAGGAGTATGTCTCTTCTGTCAGCACACAAAGGGCAAACAGGCTGCTCTGGCTGTGGGGGGTATGGGACAGCCCCAGGCTCCTTCCCACCCTTTGTTTCCCACTCCTCTCCCATCATGGCCATAGTGTGCCAGGGAAAAGCAATAGCAGAGACATTGGCAAGGCAGCATAGAGACTACGTCCAGACGGAAGGTACTGCAGCACATCTGGACCCTCACCATGCTGTCAAAGAGCCCACATAAAGTAAGTTTTCTGTTGAAGGAAGGAGAGCAGGATCCTAGCTTGAGCTTCCTCCACTCAGGAGTGCATCTACGCAGAAGGGAAAGGGGCAGAGTATGCGGTGGGCAGCACCTGTGAGCTTGCTGTGCTGCAGGATGCTGACTCTCATTAACATCACAGGAGCCTGGAGTAGGAGGTTAGTGAGGTGTGCAGGAAGAGGAGAGCTTGGTGGCAAGGTGACTCAGAAGATACAGCAGGAGTTCAGGCAGCTGAAGTTCCCCAGTACTCCTCACTCCCACAAACCCAGTCCAACTGATACCAGGACTGTAGCAGCTGTAGGAGACAAATGTGGCTGTAGCGGACAAACGGAGATGCCAGATATATCACAGAGCGAAATAAACTTGCAAGCTCTGCAGAGAATAAAGAGGGGAAACTGCTGAGATGTGGCTGAGCTAACTGCTGTCAGGAGTAAATCAAGTTCCCATAAGGCGTCTGGGAATATGTACCCATATCCTTAGCACAGGAACTGCCTACAAATCAGGTTTAGGTTGGTCAGAGCTACCACAGCAAGTGAAGGGGAAGTGGAATAGAGCTAGCTTTCTTGAGCTCACAACTCTGTCAAATCTCCCACAGACTCCAAAGGGGATCAACCCCTTGCTCCCTATCAGATGAACCAGGCTGAGTGAGTGACGTGTTCAGGGGGCCTGTGGCTTGCCCCACTGCAGCATGCTTCTCCCTTGCCATCCCTCCCCACCACTGCCTGCTCATCACCTACCCCACGGGTCACCACCACCTTCCTTTCCAAAAGACCAGGGATGAAGACAGAACAGCTGACCCTACAAACTCAGGAGGTTCAGCCCTAAAACATAGGTCAGGGGCACACCACTTCCCCTCTGCCACTTCAGACCTGGCCAAAGGCTTAGGCTAGGACACAACTCACCTCTGTTGCAAGCAGTGCCTCTCCCGGGACATCACACCTCCTCCACAGGATCGGGAGCAGGTGGACCAGGAGCTCCACTCTCCCCACCACTTGGTGACTTCTTCATCCCAGAAGCCAGCTCCATCTGCTGCCTCACTACTGTCCTGACAGAAACAGAGCATGGTTAGCTGGAGAACCTGGTTCCTCACCAGCCCTGAAACACAGAAGGGCCTTCCAAAGGCAGCTCCCTCAGGGACCATGTCACCTGGATGCCCTCTAAATGGGCAGCACTGTGACAATCATGGCAGCATCAAGATCCCTGTGGGGTCACACCAAGCTCATGCATCTCAAAATTCACATTTCCCTCAAAGACTGAGTTATAGGAAGGAGAATGCCTCTGGGATCTTATGCCATGTTGTAGAGAAGGTCTGTTGGGCTAGTTATGTGTGACAGTATCACCAGCTGCAGCCTGGGTCAGATAGAACAGCAGATCACAGGTCATGCTGCCTGCCAGGGTCTGATGCAAGGTCAGGAGAGAAGAGGAAGATCTGCAGTGCTTGGCCATGCAGATGCCTGCCTGTGGGGAAGCTGGGGATACACATCTATCACTCACTGGAGCTGCATTTCACCAGGTAAACTCTTTGTGATTAAATCAGCTCACATCCAAGCTCCTCTCCCTCCAGCCCTCACAAGTCATTTTCAAGAGTGCTTCAGAACCTGAGTCTCCTGCAATTGCTGTTGTTCCCTTTCCCTATGCACCCCACTAGTCTCCAAGGTGGATTACTCCATCTCCCAGCATGCCTTGCTGGGGCTGAGCTTTTAATTTTGGCAAAACTGAGCTCTCCTGGCCCAGTATGGTCATTGCAGCAGGCTGCTGTGTGTGCCTTCACAATTCCCAGCAGGTAAGAGATTCTGTGCTTTAGCTTCAGGTTTGGGTTTCTTTCTTAGAATATTTTCCTGTTTAGTGTCTGTCTGATGGCTTGAAAACTCCCAAGGACTTTGGCAAACTAGCCTGTGCAGGAATTAATTTGCTGTTCGTTGAAATACAGCTGTGAGTAGTGTTAAATGCAGCAATGAGTTTAACACAGGGCAGTGACTAGAAGGGATTTATCCAGTTGAAAACACTGACAATGTTTGAGTACTAGTAGAAGAAAATAAATAATGTGTGTGTGTGAAGTCTGCTATGTTGAAGTAAAGGCTCAGGGAAGTTGTATCAGTGCTACTGTCTGTGGCAATGACAAATAATCCTGTTGCAAAGAACCAGTCTGCAAAGCTTAACTGATGGATGTGAAAGAAAACTCATCAGGGTTTGCTCATCACTAAATGTGCTCTGTATGCTGTTTTGGTTTTCTGTCTCTTGGCTTTATGCTCTTTCATAGTGTAATACAGTCAAAGTGTTCATCTTGTAGTGCAATTCCTGCCTGAAAACTTGTTTTTACAGCATCTGCCAACAGAACACCCTCTGGGCAGAGGAGATGCAGCTGGTTCATGCAAATGTTTTTAAGTTGTAACTTAGAGTGGCTGAAATATGCATAGTGCTGCTTCTTGGAGATAGCCAGAACATGCTGAAAGTATCCTTTTCTGCTGCAGAAAAGCACCATAATACCCAATACTTTACTCTCTAGTGATTACAATAGTTAATTTTTGCAAACAGTAATACAGCCAAACTTTTTGCTGTACTTAGATGTTCTGGCTGGAGTTGACTTGCCTGACAGGGACCAAATGCTGTGGTCAGCAGCTGAGCTGCTCGAGAGAAAAATTAAGCTTACAGAAAACAGACATTTTCACAAATAACTTCTTCTCTTCTTCCAAATGATCATCTCAACCTATTTCCTATGAGAATTTTTGTCTGACTGTATACTATCAGACTGTAAATGGAAATGCTATGTTGCTTTCACACTTAGAAATGAAATAAACCAAAGGTGTCTTATTGTAAGGTACTTTTGGCTAGAATCTTTCCCTGACCTCTTCTATGCTTCTCTGTGATAAGCATCTCATGGCCTGTGGAGAAAGAGCTCTTCACAATTGTTGGGATGGAGAATGCCAATGATTTATCTGGTGTCTGTCCAGATAGCTCAGCACAATACAGATTCTCCCATTCCTGGGGTAATAATCAAAGCTTGTGTCTTACCACTTCACTGAATAGTTGCATGAGATGCATGGACAGCCTGGGGAGAAGGCATGTGGACTAAAAGCTGCAATATTTACACAGCTTTTCCCCAGGTGGCAGTAAAAATCTGACACTAACCAGCAAGATAATCCTGCTCCACAGATCTTACAATCCAAATAGGCAAGACGAGGCAGAAAGGAAACAGGAGAAGGGAAGTTAGATGGGCTGTTCTACTGACCTATCCCTAGATAATGAAAAAGACTTTGTGTATCTGGAGTGGTGGAAAGTTGCAGACTTATTTCCTGGGGTACTGCTCTTGGGTGTTTTGCCTTGATAAAAGGAGACTTGGTACGTTTGGGGAAGATCATCATCTCTCCCTTTGTGTGCCTCTTTCTTATGGTTAGAATAAGATACGTTTCTCTCCACACTAGGACTTTCAGGGATGACAGGAGCCCAGAGGAAGATTTCTTG